TATCCTCCACCGAATCCTCCACCGTATCCTCCACCGAATCCTCCACCATATCCTCCACCGAACCCTCCAGAGCATACTGCAGGGAGTGCTGGAGGTAGTTGTATTGGCATTGGTGCAGGCATTGGCATTGGCATTGGCATTGGCATTGGTGCAGGCATTGGCATTGGCATTGGCATTGGCATTGGTGCAGGCATTGGCATTGGCATTGGCATTGATGGCGCACAACAAGGCATTGGCATTGGCATTGGCATTGGCATTGGCATTGGCATTGGTGCAGGCATGGGTGGCGCACAACAAGGCATTGGCATTGGCATTTGTTGAGGTATGAAGATGGGACGGATTTTAGGAGGGAGTGGAATAGGGGGAAGACAAGTTGTTGTGTATGGAGCAGCTAAAGGAGTGTTGAATGTGTATGTGTAATATGGAGAAGACAATAAATATTATAAAAGCTTACGTCCAGCTCCTAAAAAAGGATCATAAAAAGCACCATACATGCCGAGTCCACCCGGACCAACTGTAGTGACACGTCTTCCACTTCGATTTCCCATTTCTCGTTATTTGTCGATATGTAGCTAGTATAATGCCTAGAACTAATACAGTAAGACTTATATAATAAAAAGAGAGAAGCAACACCAATGTCTATCGAATAAAGATAAAATGCGACTCACGATTTCAATCTTATACAGTTCACTCACTTTTATCCAAATGATGACGACGATTGTCGATCTCAAGTAATCAATCTGATACAAATGTTTCTGATTTTATAGGTAAGCCGCTTTACCTTTGCTTCTTAGACAATATAAGAGAAAGGGAGAAAAAAAAAGAGAAAAAGAGAAAAGAGAGAGAGCCTTTTTTTGCTAGAAAACGGGACACCGACGCTTGTCCCTTGTTGTAAAGACTACGCTCATAAAATACAATTGGTTTATTATATTTGTCTCCGAGTCGTCTGTGCATCAATCAGTGACGCGTAAAGAGAAGGTTTCAACGATAACTGTGGTATACACAAAAAAAAAACATGTTTTTTTTATCAACCATGGCCGTTGTGTTGTTAGTAGGGTAAAAGAGAGAGATAATAACAAATCCCTCTGTTTACAATATGTATATCCAGGGCCAAAAAATTTCGTGTCACTTGCCTGAGCACAGCTGTCACTATACGAAAAATCGATAGTTAGAATCAAATCGTATCTTAACATTCGCACACCAAAACATAAGCATAAAAATAAATATGAATTGTCAGCTAGCAAAAATTAATATCCCATCATTTATTTCGAGAATGTTAAACTAATAATGATAATCTTGAGGTTGTTATCGTTCATAATGATTATAATGACGATGAATCAAAGAACTTATATTAGTGTAGGCTCAAAAGGTAGAAAAAGACAGAAAATAGTTTTTTTAAATTTGATAGTTGTTAATCATAATTTTTGTGGTTTTACTTGTTATCTATTAAAATAAGTATCTACTGTAGTTTTCGAGGCCAAAATAACACCATCAAATAATCAACACATATTGCACATACTGATATATATATATACATGCATATAGATTTAATCATTAATATTCACATAAAATGAAAATTAAAGTTGTCACAGATCGTATTACAGTAAACGAGTGTGTAATACAGTCTTTAGTTGTATTTTTTAATAAAATGATTTGAATTATTTTTGTTTTTTGAAATAAAATTTTAATTTCTTTCTAATACCAAATTTCTTCATTATTTACATGAGAATCTTAAAAGATTTTATTTGAAATTGGCGACGTTGACTATATTATTTGTTATGTTTGTTTGAATATATTTTTCTTTCTTTGTCATTTGAAATATAATATAAGTATTTAGATTTTCATTTTAATTGGAAAAAAAATAATTGAAATCACTGTGTTTCAAAAGTGTTGTTTTTCCTCAAATTAATATCTCTATACATCAAACATTTCATATAAAAATAAAGAGAAAAAAAAATGTGTTATGTTAATTAATCACCATTGATCAATATCAAATTTTTGAATAATCGACGTCATGTTCAGATTTCAAATATTAAAACAAAAATTACTTTTTTACTTTTTTTCTTCAAAACTTTAATTATAAATTTTTCGTACAAATTGGTTTCAGTAAAAATATGATATGATAGACAAAACCGTATACTTCTGTTTTTTTTTTCTGTTTTCATAAACATATTTTAGAAACAGGTTTGTCCTTTATTATTCTTTTCATAGTTTGACAATAGTACGTTTTTTTTGTTATGAAAATATTACATTTACACATTGTTTCATTGATTATTGCTTTTCTGTTTCTTGTACACTCTTTATCCACAGTATATCACCAGTTTTCTATTTACTAATATTTTTTCATCACGTAACATCAAACCATTATTATTACATATACTGATCGGAAAACGAAGCGAGTATAAATGTGACTACTCCACGGTTGATCGCTTTGCACCACAACGTTTAGGCCACATAACCGCGCGCTGTCGTCCTTCTTTTACCTTGATTGCATTGCTTCCCATTCTTTTTCTTTTTTTTTTGTACACTAGTTTTGTTCTACCTCTCTCTCTCTCTCTCTTTATGCTTGCATACTATATTTGATATTTAACACCGCATTCTATCAATTGATCACTCATCTAATTTTTTACCGCACCCTTATAGGTGAGTACGAATCCTCTTCTCATATATGTATTTTCTTTTTTTGGTTTTATCGTATAGACATTTATATCATGTTATCTATATGAACCCTACTTATTTCTGTTACATTATATCTATTTATTTATCTTTTCTTTTTTCTTTTGTTTGTCAGATTTTATAATCAGTTGTACACAGATCAACGATCACCCCTAGTATAAAAAAGCTACATAAAGGTTTGCCTCGATTGCAAGATCATCTATCATCAACAGACTAATTCTTCAGTAAAAAAAAGTCCTTTTTAGAATGGGTAATCGAAGCGGTCGACAGCAACCAGTGTTTATTCCAGGTAAAATAAAGTGTAGTTATTTTAATAATTTTTCTAATAATGTTTTTCTTATGAACTAGCTGATCCTTATCCACAATGGACTGAATATTATATTCCTACAGTACGTCGACAACGACCTGTCATTTATGTTGCCGTTCCTTTCAATCCGTGCGGTGGTATGGGAGGTTTCGGTGGCATGGGAGGTCTTGGTGGCTTGGGGGGGGGTTTTGGTGGCTTGGGGGGAGGTCTTGGTGGCTTGGGGGGAGGCCTTGGTGGCTTGGGAGGAGGCCTTGGTGGCTTGGGAGGTCTTGGTGGCTTGGGAAGTCTTGGTGGCTTGGGGGGAGGTCTTGGTGGCTTTGGAGGCCCTGGTGGCTTGGGAGGTCTTGGCGGATTACCTTTATTTTAAAAAAACTTTAACTCGTGGACTTTTGTTTGAGAGTTTACAATCACTTGCTTCTCATATATTACAAAAAATACGGATTTTTTTAACACTATTTTGCGCAGATTTTATTTCAACGCTCATTGTTGATGCGGTGTGTGTGTGAATATCTACATCTATCTGGTTTTGTCTAATCTCTCTATTTCTTTCTTTCTTTCTTACAATGTCTACTACACATAATGATTGTCATTTTACTGCTTTCTCATTTTTTTTTTTGACTTAGTGTAAAAAGACATTCATATTGTGTATGTAATTGAGAGAAAGGAAACAAAGAAATACTTAGAGAATTCGCACAATCATAGAATAATTTATTCATGTTTAATCCATATATTATTTCTGCTTTTCTTTTCTTTTTTTTTATATATTATAGTATAAAAAATAATATTTAGACCACCAATATTTAATAAATTGAATCAAAAATCGTTGACAATAGTTTTGTTGATCTTTTTCTAAATGAAACCATAATACTAATTATTAACATTATTTTTTTATAAACAATTCTGCAAGTACATAAATCGATGTAAAGGTTTTTAATAAAATAAAAAAAAATTTCGATAACGAACTATTGTATTTTTTTCTAATGTAGACGAACCTTGAGTTTGGCGTTTTATTCAGCCACGATTTTCCTTGATGATTGATGTACAAATCACGTGAGTCTGCACTGATCAATAATACTAAGATAAATTTGTAAATGTATTAATAGTATAAACATATCCTTGAATATGTAAATTCAATGAAATTAACCAAAACTATGTATTGAAGGATGTATTATCAGATCTATGAACTATTCTTGTTTGCATGGCCATGTGGATATGCATGAACTATTTTAAGGTTATTAGTTACTCATTTATCTTTGTCTCTATACTAATTCTTTGTTAAAATAATGAAAACTGTGATGTCATCATATAAGCGATGTATTTCTGATGTATAGTGTTCTATTTTTTTTCTTCAATGTCTGGCTCATATTCATATTTACTACTATTAGAAATAAATTCCGAATGATTTCTAAGATAAGTTTCATTTTTATTTTTTTAAATTATTCTTTTGATAAACTTTTTTTTTGCATGGACAATTATTTTCATTGACTAGTTTTCTTTTATTTTTATTTTTGAAATAAAGAGTAATAATTCATTATTATTAAAAATTTCATTTTTATATAACATCTAACATAAAAAATTTTAAAAATTATCGATATTCTATATATTTGTAATAATACAATAATTTCTCTTTTATTGAATTAGATTCTTATGGTTCATTGTCAGTTATAATATAAACAAACGATCTATTATTATTAGATATTTGCATGATAAAATTTCGATTCTCCCGAGAATAATGTATAAAAAACTTCAACATATTATACTTTATCTTATTAATTTTATTCACGAAATTCTTTAATTTGAATGATATTAACATTAAACTTTCAAAAATCTTTAAATTATTTTTCAATATAGGTTAACTAAAAAAAATTCAAATAATATTTAGTATTTCTCATTAAAAAAATACTTGCTTTTCAATTTCATGGCGACATAAACTAGTTTTATCCTTGAGTAGATAGTATTCAAAATATATTTATTTATTAGTTACAAGGGCAAAGAAAATCTACGTCTAGTGAGCACGTACCCATATCTATAAATGTGAAAAAAAAGAAAAATTGGTCGAGTGTGACGAGATATAATTTGGAGATTTTTTTCTGCTTCTTTCACACTATCATAAGTGTCAATCGTTAATGAAAAAGAACATATTTTACAACAAATAAACATATATGTTTCTTTTTTATTTATTTAAATAACACGACAACAAAAATATAATTATAAGTGTTAAGTAAAAGAAAATTTCATGTGATAGAATCAAACGAAGAACAAAATAAATAGAAAACGAAATTGACTAGACTTCAAGTATTCATAAACAACAACAAGTGATTAATAAATACAATATGAGAATAAACAATATTTGACCGTCAAATAAATTTGAAATATATGATAATGTAGGTCACAATTGGACCTACATTAGTGATTATACTGACAATACAACATTTCATTACAGACAACAAGAAAAAAAAATAATAATAATATTGAGACGAGATTTTTAAGAGCTAATCAATGATGATGAACTACCAGAGAGAAGTCGTTGAGTATCATTAATAAATCGCTGCGAACTATGCCAAAAGCCGTAAAAACCATAGATGAGAAAGCCTAATTTCAATAAATTTTTCGAAATTTTTTTTTCTCATTTAAAATAAATGATATCTTACCAATAATCATCCATACACCAAATCGAATCCAAGTTGCTGGTGAAAGTTTAAGAATTAAATAAGTATTAATAAATACACTTAATACAGGTACATAAGGCACGAGAGGAGTCTACAAAAAATAGAATAAACAAAAACAACGAAAGTAAATTGATCACATGGTTTTTAATATTATCTTAAAACGCAACAAAAACTGAAACAATCAAAGAAAAAAAAATCGGACCTCATGAAATGTTAACTAGAAAAAATTAAATTTTTTCTCTTTCAAAACCTAAAATTTTATAACTAACCTCAAAATAGGATGATTTTTCACTTTTTGGTTGTCGTGCAATAGCAGTAACAAGAATAATTTCCACAATAATAAAAATACTAAATATGATTATAATGCCTGATTCTTTAGCTGCAAGACGATGTGAAGCAAATATTTGTATTGCACAAAGAATAAAACCGTTAAGAACTAATATTAAAAATGAATTTCAAGTTTAATTATTTAAATTTTTTTTTTTGTCTTTTCTTACCTAACAAAGTAATCAAATATTTTGTTATTCTTGCTGATAATACAGTTGGATGTGTTTGTGATGGTCGAAATAATTCTTTATATATAGGTCCAGAAACTGGTGTAATCGAACGTAAAAGTGGATCATCAACAGGTTGATAACTAAAATATCAGGAAAAAAAGAAAAAATATTTATTATTTTTGTAATCATTATTAAAAAACAAAAACTTACCGTAAAAATAAGACAGAAATCGATACAAGCGAATAAGCAAGTAGTGTTCCAATAGACATCATTTCAACTAATTTTTTTAAATCAAATATTAATGCCATAAATGCTATTAAGAAAAAAAAAAAAAAAAAAGTAATTAGTTAAATAGAAATTAATGATGTTTTTCTTTTTCCTACCTGCAGCAATTCCACCAAGAATTGTTGCAATGATTGGTGTTTGTAAACGTGGATGTATCCAAGATATAAAACGAAATATTAAACCATCAGCAGCAATAGCATATAAAACACGTGGTAATGGTAAAAGTGAGCCAAGTAATGAAGCAAATATGCCTTTAAAAAACAAAAAAAAGGAAATAAAACTCAAAGAAAAGAAGATATTAATTTAATAGAACAAACCAGTTAATGCACCAGCACCAATTATATATTTAAATGCTGGTAATTGAACATAACGAAATGCTTCTGGAAAAACGGCATCAGGATTTAAAAGATAATATGGAACCTATAAAAAAAAACCAATAATAATAGACTTTTGATTATATAAAATAATTCAAAAATTTTATTAATTATAATACGTTTTTTAAAACGATAAATATTATTGTTTATTAAATTTATGACATGCTGAAATTTCGATTCAATCTTTTATAATTCTTTTTAATAATTTGTTTGAAATAAAGATTATTCATTTTTATCAAATAGTCATTTTTTTTTCAAAGAAAACAAAAAAAAGTGCTGAACAGCACTAACAATAAGGCTTCCAATGTTCTAGAACATTCTAAAGTTTTCATTGAGTTTTCAATAATTGGACTATGTTTGTGAATGTTCAGAAAATAGTGCAATTTTAATTTTTTGCATAAATAAAAATTTGTATTCAAGATATCAAGAGTAATGGGCCGTCATGCGTTGATTTGTCACAGACATCATATAATCAACATCAAAGGCGTGACTTGATGAAGTTATTACTCTGGATAAATAGTCAATAATAGTGTCTATGAGCTTGTCATGACATATAATAGTACGTCGAGACCAGTTATAAATAGAATCAATATATCTAACAAGCTGATTTGTTAGTTAAATCAATGGTTAGAATAACAATAATATTTAATGAAGAAAAATAGTATACGAAAAACAAAAACAACGTGCAAACAGCATCAAAACAAACAAAAAGAGGGCGTTAATAAAAAAAAAAGAAAAGAAAAGAAAAAACTGTTCGAAATCCAGAAATAAATAAAAGATCATTTTTTTTGGACATTAATTATCATTGGAAAATAAGTGTAATCTACTAGAGATTTTTTATATTATGTGTTTTGAACTAATATAATCACGTTAAAGAACATGTGTGAGTTCTACATCTCAGTCGTAAATGGATTGCGTTGAGAAGTTTTTTTCAAAAGCATTTCAAGTTAATAATTCAGGCTGTTCACATAGCGTAAAATAGTATATAAAACTCAGTATTCAAAAAAAAAATGAAATTCGAAGGTCTAATTATAAATTTTTCGTTATTGTAACGGTTGACTGGATAAATATTCTCAATATTGCATGTTTTGTAATTCTATGTAAGACATTCAGATGTTCAATTAAAAACTAGTTCAAGAAGGCTAACACATTTATGTCATTGTCTGTAATTTTGATTTATTTTTTTTCACGATGTATAATATTATAAATTAGTGACAAGAAAATTTCGTTTAAAAGTAGTACAATAAGTTCTCGTATGTCAAATTTGTTTCTGTTTTCTTGTCAATAAGAAAAACATTCAAGTATATTCCCCAAGGCTTTTTTGATCGATACGTCAAACTTGTTAAACTAGTACGATATATTTTGAATAATCTTATTACCTAAATATATGAATATTCTACTTACCATCAATGTTATTACAATTGATATAGCACAATAAATTATTGAGCATACGATTAATGTAAAACAAATTGACGTTGGAATAGCTCGTTGTGGATTTTTACTTTCTTCACCTGAGAAAGTAAACTTTTTATTATAATTCAT